AAAAAAAAAAAAAAAAAAAAACAACACCCATTTTTTTTTGGACCTTCAAGTAGTTTTTATTTTAGCTTTTAAGAAACAAGGATATATCATGTATTTTATGATTCTCGCTGCCAATTCTGAGAAGCAGGAGTTACCTTTAAATCCTTGTATTTTTCTTCATACTACTAACCAACAGGATATTATTAGCAATGAACTCTTTGACACTTTTTTTGACCAAGCATCCATCCATTTCCTTTCACCATCATCCGTCAACAAAATGACGAGACACTTAAAGACACTTTACTGTATGTATTTTTTTTTAACAACACATGTTTTTACATCCCAACTGCACTCTGCTTTATCACTTACAATCCTAATAAAATGCAAGGAAGTGTGTCAAACACAGACGAACAATAAGGGTCAGGCTCTACAGCACTTTTAATTAGGAATCCTAGAATACTGGTTAAAAAAGTAGTAATACAACATAAATAAGAAAGCTGTTAAAGTCCCCACACTTAATAAGCAAGATCATTTTAAAATGACTGCAAGAAGGTTTGGCTCCTGTCAAGCAAAAATATATAGAAATAATGACAGCACAAGATCTGTTCACACATTTTTTTAACTCAGATTCTTCGTGCAACAAACCCGAATTACAACTTACTTCAACTGGGAAAGTCCTGCCTGGAATGCTGACCACAGGGCAGCGGTTGAAGTAGCTGGAAAACTTGTCACAGTCCACAGTGGCGCTCATGAGGATCAGGTGCAGGTCGGATCTCTTCATCACAACATCTTTAAGGATGGTGAGCAGAAAATCCGACTGGACACTGCGCTCATGGACCTACGAGAAAAGGATGCCACAGAGTGGAGGCAGGACATAAATCTGCGTATTTATGCTCAGTTAGGGTTTGTAAGTACCTCATCCACAATAATATGGGTCAGGGAGCTCAGGTGTCTGTCCTGCTGGAGCTTCCTGAGGAGAACTCCGGTAGTGCAGTACAAGAGGCGGGTCCAGTCCCCGGACAGGTTCTCCATCCTGATCTGGTATCCGCACAGCGACGACTGAATTCAACCGGAAACATCGTCATTGAAGAAGGTGAGGGTGCAACTAGAGCCTCTTACACTGGCACACAAAAACAGGAAGAAATAAACGAAGCACAACCCCATGAGCGAATGACAACCTTGGAGCCCGGTCCGTCGTCGCAGCCCAGCTCCTGGCTGACTCTGCTGGCGAGGCTCATGGCTGATATCCTGCGCGGCTGAGTCACCACGATGTTGCAGGGCCGAGCGGCTTTGCCCCCCGTCAGCAGCTCCTCCAGCAGGAACTGAGGGATCTGGGTGCTCTTCCCGCTGCCCGTCTCGCCGGCCACCACCACCACACGGTGGCGCTGCAGAGCCTCAAGGACGCGACCTCTGTGCTGAAAGACTGGGAGCTTCTCTCTCTCCGCCTTAACAGGTCAAATACTCGGTGAACGTTGAGGAGTTATGTCACGATGGGGTAAACTGAACGATGTAGAGAGGATTTACCTGCAGCTTGTGGGCGAGTGCAGACTCTTTCAGCTTTAGTAAGAGCTCTCTGGCTGACTTAAGCGACGCTGCTCCTTCCTTCTGCTTACTTTTCACACCCTTGTCTTCATCTCTGCCTCCTTTTTCCTCAATATCGAGACCGGCCAGATTCTCCCAGGAGTCTTCCGGTACGTCTTCTCCTGCCCTCCTGTTGAGCTCCTGGCCTTGGTGATACGTGGGCTGCTGGGCTTGACTCTGGTTCTGCTGCTGCTTCAGTCTGGTGAGGAGCCGGGATATGAACTGGTCGCGAGGTTTGTTGGCAGCGGTGCGGCTCGCTTCCTGCTGCTGCTGCTCGCTGTCTCTCCACTCCAGCCACACGTCTCTGTAGGTCGGAGGTAGGAGCTGATGCACAGACTATGTGGGGGAAGAAGGAAGGTAAAAATAAAGTAACATCCTCCAAACGACCAAAATCAATAAATAAAATGGAAATAAAAACCACACACAACCCAAACCATAAATTAAATTGATTAGTAGAATAAAATTTCACTAGACATCATGCACAGCAAGAATCATGCTGGTAATAAGACCAACATAAAAGTAGTCTGACTGGAGCAACTAATTTTAGGAAATCATCACACCAGACAGCAGGTGACATAAAAAATCCAAATATTTTTTTTTCTACCAAGAATTCATTTTCCTTTTCTTCTATAGCTTAAAATGAAACTGCAGAATCCAGTTACCTGCCCTTTAACCAGGTTGTAGAGTGCCAACGTGGCAGCCAGATGCTGAGCCTGCATGCTGTCCTCAGTCAAGATGGTAGGACAAACTTCCAGGGCATCGTCCACTCTTTGGACTCGCACCCTGACAGATATGAAACGTTGCATAGATAATGTCTAAACGACAAGAGCCTCAGCTAACCATTAGACATCAGTAGCGATAGTCATTTCTTTTCTCCACCTGGCTCGTTGTCGTGGAGACGTGCACACTTTTGCTTACTTGCATCTCCAGTATCTGCCGGCAGAAACCTTGTGGAAAGCTGGCGGTGGACTTTTGGGCAGGTTTTTTCTGACCCAGTCGATGAGAAACTGTTTGGGGGACTTTCCTGTCCAGCTGCGAGCCGTGTAGTCGAAGTTACGAATGTCTTTTGGCTCGTTCTTTCTCACAACTGCAAAAGAACGACGCGACATGAGGTCATCACTACACGCCGCAGTTAAGGTGCTTCTCCAGGTTTAGTGTGTCAAGCATAAACATTTTCAAAGCGCTTGAAGGTTGTTGCAAAAATGGCTCTTGTTAACTCTGCACCTTTATAAAATGTTTTACTGTATGACCCAAAACAGGTCATGAGTTAAACTGAAAGCAGTAATTCAAAGTAGTACAAGAGGAGCGTCTTGAAATAGCCTAATTCCAACTACGAAGATGAACTCTTAATAACAGGATTATGTGGATATGATGTCTGTAGAGTTACAAGTGATGATATTTTGAACTTAAGGTCATCACTTTATGGTTGACCTTTTTCCGCAGGAGGGTCCTTTTCTGCTTGCTCAAACAAACTGAAGCTCAGGTCATCTTTATCGTCCGTCACGGGAAGCGTCTTCTTTTCCTTCTGAGGGACATCGACAACTTTTATGGCAGGATTGAAGATGGGATGAGACTCCAGCTGCTTCATTTCTAGAAAAGAGAGAATAAATGAATCAAGAAAATGTCACAACAGCTGGAAGTTTTGCTCCCTTTAGCTTTTTTTCAGGATTACACAGCAACTTGGTGAAAATCTACCTGCTGGATTATCACGTATACTTTCTGAGAAACAGAAATGTAGACCTTTATATGCTTATGCTCGGTAAATTAAAATGACATTCACCTTGCTGTATGACCCGAATCCTGTCCTGTGCCTTCCTCTGCCCCATTTTGTCTCCTTTGGTCTTGGCATCAGCTGCCATTTCTTTGGCGTCATACAGTTGCGCGGTGAGGATCAAATACCTGTCATTCTACCAATAACACACAACCAAACTCTGCGTCAAGACTGGAAGCTGCTCCGCAAAGTCTTTCAAAAAGAGCTTCCCCAAAATATCCTACATCTCAGTCAAAGACTGTTCAATTCAACTTACAGGGTCAAACTTTTCATCCAATTCAGGATTGCGTGTCCTCTTATCTCCTTCGTCCTCCTCCTCTTCGTCGTCACTGCTTTGTTCTGCGTACCTCAAAATCCAGTCCTTCATGCTTGCAGCTTCGTCCTTCTCTGATACCTGGCAAATAACGCGACTAAGCTCACATGCCGAGCCAGAAAACACTCTCATCTAGCAAGCACAGAAAAATCTTTCAAGGCACGGACCCTGTTGGCGTCTCTGTGGCTGTTGTTGGACGCTTTGGGGTTCCTTTCAGCAGGTTTCTGCTGCGGTGGAGGCTGGAATTTAGGCCGACTCTTCTGGCTCTCCTCCTGCAGCTGCTGGCTGAAACCGTCTGGCAACTCATCTGGCAAAACAAATGGGAAATTCACAAAGTCAGCAAAAAATATTAATAACACCCTTATGAACGCTGGCGCTCCGTTACCATCTTTAAGGTTAAGACAGAGCCAGTCGAGAGCAGAGTGGAGGTCGCCCCCATACAGGACGCTGCTCTTCATCGCCTCTTCAATGTGCTCTCTTTTGAAGTTGAATTTCTCCAGAGCTGTGTACAGGTCCTTAAAGCACATGCAAATACAGCAGTTAGCTTATGCAGCGAAGCTAGATGAATGAAAATGGTGGCATCTTCCTACCAACAGCTTCTTGGTTGTAAGTCTGCCAGAAATGGGCCCTTTGTCCCCATTCTCCTGTCTGAAATCATTGATCAGCTTGATGATTTTCTTCTCCAGCTCAGCTTGGATAGAAACCTTTAAAAAAACAAAACAAAAAAAAAAACTTTATGAGAATCTACACATCTCATATTGGAAAGGGGGTACTTTCAACACATTGGCATTTTTGTAAAAATAAGTGTGTTGTAGAGGAATTTTAAAAGAATGATCAACACAAAGTAGCAGATAATTGTGAAGTGGAAGCAAATGGAGACAGGGTTTTCAAAGTGTGTGACAAATGCAAACAAAAAAAGTGTTCACATCTGTATTCATTAGATTACTGATGTTTATTAGGTGATTTCCAATGACGAATGGTTGGACTGCACCCTATTTAGTGACCAGTTTCACTGAAGTTTTTGGCTCACAGAACATAAAGAAGTTCAAATACTTTTTTAGACACTGTAGACGTGTTACACTTACTTTAAGAATGGACTTGTCTGAGACTCCACCTGTATCCACCTGAGCTGTGTTGGCAAGACTGTAGGTCTTTGGGGCTGAGGGAAAAACAAAACAAACCACTACATGTCATTGTATGTGTTGAAGTTTTAACATCCTCTGACAGATCCTACTTAAAGTATTAGGTCTGATGGTTCAGAAACCTTAATAGGGCGCTACGTGAATAATGGCAGTGGCAATTATACACAATTTACCAAATAATGGCAAAAACATACAGCCATTAGGATCTTCATATTAGACATAAACCGCCTTGAAGCCTTTATTGACAGCGTCCTGCTGACAGATTCTCAGGTTTTAACAAACAGCAATTGATTCATTGTATTGCATTACCAGATCACTACCTTTAGATTTAGTCTCTTTCACTGGTTTATTCGTTTTGCTGTTGGCTGCGTGTTTCTTCTGGTCCTCCACCGCACCGGTACCACCGACTGCAGGGATAGAACCGGAGCTGGTCGCCGCTGCTGCCGCCGGGGCAGCCTGAGCGGCTGATTTCTTCTTCTTTCCACCCATTAGGTCAACAACTCCTGCCTGAGTGTGGCTCCTTTACGTAAACACGGGATTTAAATACATCAGCGAGATGTTAGATATTATGGAAAGAGAGTGAAAAAGCCGGAGTCGATACGTGTGTCTCACTCGTCTACGTTTTGCACCACACGGCTTCCGTAGCGGAACTGTCGAAACAGCCTCATGCTGTATTGTGGGAAGTTTGTCCCTTACAAACATGGCGGACCCTTTTGGAGACGGATTGTTCAGCGTGTTTGACGATGAACAACAAGGTTCTGCTGGCAAAAAGACGCCCACGGGTGCCTTTACGGAGACTGGGTATAATATTTTAAACATATTAAGTCTTGTCTTTAATATTAGTGCTCTTTCTCGTTTACGTCGCGTGAACGTGGCGTAAACGTTGGCATGCTGGCTCTTTCATGCCAACTGCTCTAACCGGCTAATTAGCTAGCTTGTCCAATTAAGTCACAAAACGGAATAAAGTGTGTAAATTGTTCGGATAATGCTTACGTTGCATCTGTGCTCCGTTGTGACTAGAGTCGAACACATTTTTAGCTAAACCTGGTGGAGCTTAAGCGTTTGAATTCCGCGCAGACAGCTAAACCATGCTCTGCTGTATTTGGTGTCTTTCAGGAAATCTGCAGGTAAAAGCGGTGCTGACAGGGATGCAGGTCCGTCTGTTCGGGTCAAGAGGGAGGCGGACAGTGACGGCGGAGAGGAGTTGGTGTTTGGGAAGAAACCTCGGCATGATGTAGTCTCATCCAGTGACCTAAAGTAAGATGAAACACAAACTACTTGTATAAGTCGAACCTAAGATGTGCACTTAACACGCTTATGTGGTTCCTACACAGGATGTAAACGCAAGGAAAGTTAGTACTTTCCATGTATTTTTATGTAGAAAAAAGTGTATAAAGATAGATTTTCAGATTTTTGTCTGGTTGTATAAATGTTGAATCACTTGGCTCAAAAGAGAACTAAGAAATCTACTCAGTAGAGTCCGAAAGAGTAAGGAATTTGATGTTAAAAAATGGTAATGAACAATGTGTTTAATGTAAATCTATTTAATTTAAGCTTACAGCAACATTCTGCTCATCTTTGGTAAATTTGAACCTACATGAAAACTTTATTTTCTGTGGACTTGTCATTAAATAGATCTCCATATCAGTCGCGATTTAGTGCTATTCAATTCTTCTTGAGTTCATGCTCTTAACACTTGGAATACATAGGGCAAGAATTATTGCACTCCAGTTTTTTGCAGTGTGAATAATGCACACACTGAAATTGCTGATACTGTGTCTTAGATATGAATGTTTCTATTTATTTCAGTCTCACAGAATTTATGCCTCAAGTGAAGGTGGAGCAGGTGGAAACTGTGGAAGGATGCTCACATGAGGTAAAAAAAATAAACAAAACAAAAACAGCTCTTTTTAATTTATAGTTCAGTTGTTTTAAATGCTATCTGTAACCCACAGGTTGCTCTGCCAGCTGATGAGGAGTATAAACCTCTGAAACCAAGAGTGGGAAAAGCAGCTAAGGTATAACAGTTAATTTAACTTTATGGTTTCATTTTATTACACTGATGATACATTTTAAATGTGACACTATTGAATTTTATTACATACTTTCTGCAGTAGGACATCTGATTTTTGTGAAAAGAAACTAGTTAGTTCAGTTAGATGTGAATTGCTTTATATGTTTGCAATAACAAATGTATCTTTTTTTTTCTTTTCTCTTCATATCTTATACTTGTCCTGCAGGAATACCCGTTTGTACTGGATCCCTTCCAGCGTGAGGCTATCCTATGTATCGACAACAACCAGTCTGTGCTTGTGTCTGCACACACCTCTGCAGGAAAAACTGTCTGTGCAGAGTAAGCCTGCTAAATAAAAACTTCCATCCTTTACAGTTATAACAGTTCTCACTTGACTTTAATGACATTAGTTTTTTAAACCTTTTAGTGTGTTATTGCACCATAGTGTTCAAGAGTTTAGCTCTGATTAAAAGAATGAGATTCTCTAAATGCATAATCAAATGAATGCGTAGGCTTCATTTGTGATTTATTTATCACAACCACAATATTGGGTCTATGCACATGAATAAGAGATGAGGGACCAGTTCTCTTAAGTCATTAGTCATTGTGGGCTATTTCTAAATGAATTTCTCTCTCTTGCAGATATGCCATCGCTCTGGCTCTTAGAGAGAAGCAGAGAGTCATCTTCACCAGTCCCATTAAAGCACTCTCTAACCAGAAGTACAGAGAGATGTATGAAGAATTCCAGGATGTAGGGTTGATGACTGGTGATGTTACCATCAACCCTACTGCCTCCTGTCTTGTCATGACAACAGAGGTGAGACGTAGATCTGTCCATCGTGGAGGCATTACAATACAATACTACTGCTACACGTTGTGTAACTATTACAGCTGATGTGTAGCAGGTATTGTTTTCCCTATAAGATTTTCTTGACAACGTGTGTTTTCATTGTGCAGCAGGTCTGACTTGAATGTTTTCTTTTTGCCTAGATTCTAAGGAGCATGCTGTACCGGGGATCTGAGATCATGAGGGAGGTAGCCTGGGTTATCTTTGACGAGATCCATTACATGAGAGATGCAGGTGTGTACAGGAAGGAGAGGTCACTGGCAATTTGACTGCTTGTCTTCAACGGTGGAGATTAGACTTGATGCAAAAGTCACTGAAGTTAACAGATTTTGGTTTTATGCTTTCAATTTTAGCTAGAAACTTGTGACAAAGCTGGCCATCATACACTTGCATAATGTAAGCATGTTACATTATGCAAGTGTATGATGGCCAGCTTTGTCACTTGCATAATGTAACATCCTTACATTATGCAAGGTTCTGTGAATGTCTAACTCAAGACTCTGTTCTGTTGAAAAGGTTTATTACTTTTAGCAGTGAACTTTAGCCTCTAGAACTAAGTGTTCTAATGAGACTGGAACTAACATGGAA